GTTCGCCCCTCCTCGGCCGTGGGGCTGCGCCATGTGCCGTGGATTGTTTTTTTTTTTGGTTTGGGGTTTTTTTTAGGCGCTTTTTTTTTTTTAAAAATATATTATTATTATTATTTCCCCGTTTTCTGTGGGCAAAGGTGGTCGGGGTGATGCAGTGAGGTGGTTTCACGGGGATGGGGCGATGGGGTCCCGGGTGTTGCCGTCACGACGTGGGGCTGCATAGGGCGGGTATTGGGCTGGCAAGAGGCCAACCCTGCCAGGGAGCTGCACCGTCATGGTCTCCGACCCCTTGGCCAAAGCGTGTTGACAGGTGGTGTAATGGGGAGCCCAGCGGGTGCCTGGCTGGCTGGGTACTCCCTGGATGAAGGGGGGCGTGCTGGCGGGGTGCTGCGTACCCCGTGCCTGGACAGGGTGTCTGCAGAGGCCTGGAGTCTGCTACCCATGTCTTTTACACAGCTACCACCCAGCATGTCTTTTACACAGCTGTGCTGTCAAGAAGCTGTCCCATTCCTGTATTTGTAAAGAAGGCTTTAGGTAACATAATAGACTGTGAAATAACATGTATCCCTGTGCAGCAGCAGGAAGCCCAGAGAGGAGGCCATCTTGTGCAGCTGCAGGAGGACCGGAGAGGAGGCCATCTTGTGGCTGCCACACACAAGGGAAGGGATAGGGAGGAGTGACATAGCACTATAGCACCAGTTTACGTGGTCTGGGTTTGGGGGATGAGAGTTGTGTACCCTCACTACCAGAGGAGACTCTGTGTGGAAGTAAATACACAGCCAGGCTTTAGTAATGTCTGCAGGTTGCCCTTGAACGCAATGAAATTACGCACAGCGGGAAGGCATGTAGGAGCCATCTTCCCGCCTGTGTGGAAAGGCCAAGCCCTGCTGGTGGGAGCAGAGTGCTGCCAGATTTGCAGTGGGCGAGAGCACACCACTGAGGCACAGAGGCTCTTGGCCTTCAGCAAATGTCCAAGCCTGTGCAAGGTTTGGAAAGGAGATGACACTTTTGGTTTGTATTTACAAAGAAATGTCATCATCTGATACTTGCCTCATCTGTTGCTCGCTCCGCTTTTTAATAGCATCCTCCATATATGTGGCACAAAGCTAGAGGCCGTTTTACTCTTTTATAATTCTGCTATGTGATTGACTGCCTGAGTTGGTCAGTCCAGAGTGCAGGAACCCAGGCAAGATTAGACACAGTGGAGGAGATTCCTTCCTCACACCAATATAAAGTACATGTTATGTTATCAGGAAACATTTCCAGTAACTTTTTGCTGACCATTTGGGAACAAATGGCTGCTGTGGTGAGTGGCTTCAGCAACTTATCCTACCTGAACCAAAGGAATTGGGGAAGGATTCTTGGGCAAGTTTTGCCCTAGCACTCCAGGAGATTTTAGGCTGGTCGCAGCTGGTCAACTGCTAGGATATTTTGAGCTGAACACTGGAGTGAAAAAGGAGGGCTAAATATAGAAGAGAAACTGGGAAATAAGGAATAGAAGGTTTAAAAGGAGCTGCACATAGATAATGAGTGGCCGTTTTCACAGTTGTGCAGTTTCTGACCTGCCATACTCCCAGTGGTTTAGATTTACTGGGAACCCCAGTAAATTGCCCATTTCATTCTTGTGTGTATTTGGATTTTAATTTTTGATTAATGCTTAGAGGAACCCAAAATCTCATGAAGAAATTTAATTGCCTTAGTTTAACATGAGAATTTGTCTCCACTTCCTGGGCCAGGGGTTAAAAGACACTCAAAATAATATTTTTTTTCCAAACTTTGTTTTGCAGCTCCAATATTTTTCTGGTTTAGTAGTTGATGGGGAGGAGGAGCTGAATGGGTCCGTTCGAGAATTTTGTGATCCTTGCATTTGCCCTAATTTTCAATTTGATCTGGCAGATTTAGTCTTCTTACCCTAATCTCTTTGGTTCAATTAACAAAGTCTTAAAAGAAGTTGGTGTTGTGTGTGGGAAGCTTAACAGAATCTGCTCCACAGAGCCAGGCTAACCTGCCGAACACTACCGGGATTTCTTACTGGTAGGTGTAAAGTGAGTTACATGGTAGACGTATGTGGTAGAGCTAACCTGCTGTTTTGCCTTCTGTCCACGGCAAAGCCAGTGCGCCGAGTCCCTTTCTTTCACTCAAGTGCACTCCTGCATTTTAAGGAAAAGACTGACTGAAGTAATTGATTCTTCAGGTTTGACAGTGACTGCTGTGAAGGACTTTGGGGAGTGGAACTTGGAAGCTGGAGCACTGGTGCTTGCAGATGGAGGCCTATGTTGCATTGACGAGTTCAATAGTATCAAAGAACATGACAGAACCAGTATCCACGAAGCAATGGAGCAACAAACCATAAGTGTTGCAAAGGCAGGGTAAGTTGCATGTTAACATATGTGATAAAACAACGTAAGATGTTTCTCTCGTACTTAGAAGTTGGAGGGAGGGTTTGTCATGCTGATTAAATATATCTGTTTTCTTTGTTGTACTTACTAGTTTTGTTCTCAGCAGTATTCTGAAACTAGACGAGTCAAGATTTCAAAGGACAGTGGGCTGGGCCAGAGATTGAAAGCAATCAGAATAAATACATACCCTGTTGATTGCTGGGTTTTCAAGCTACCACTGTAGGCTAGGACACTTTCCTAAGAAGACTTAGTGTTCTTTTTCTTGTTCTTTGCTGCGAGTGGTCATAATAATCATATGTGAAATGAGGAACTTTGTCAATTTTTTTACTGGAACTCAGAAAGCAGGACTTTTTTTCTCCAAAATCCAGTAATACTGTACAGTAACAAAAAGAGACCAAGAGATTTCCAGGCTGCTGAATTTTATATGTTGGGCATGGCATAAGTATAAATTCCTGCTTAATTTCAGTTCCTTGCTTCCTTTCTCAAAGTAGTGTGTGTTCAAATCTGCTATTCCCCCCCACCGCCACTTTGATCTTTGAGCTCATATCTCATTCTGTCAGTCATATGCAGCTCTTGTCCAGGCCCAAATAATTTCCTGGCTGGTATTGCTGAAGTCTCTGCTGCTCAAAAGGCATCACCCTTTCTGCATTCCTCCTTGTCGCCTTCAACTCAGCTCTTGCTCCAATCACATCTTCTTGGCTCCTCTAACTGATCATATCCTTTCTTTATTCTGAGCATCTCCACTGAAGCTGTCTTTACCCTCTTTGGCAGACAGCAGACAAGTAATGTCACTCTCACCTGGCTGATTACTAGCCTTTGCCACTAATGCAGCTGGGGATAAATATTTGGAATCAACATGGTTCTACCTACTTAGTAAGATAATGACGTATTTTAGCCCGGTTCCTTGTTGCAGTTGGTTGGGTTTTGTAGACTCCAAAACACAGTTTGCTAACTTGCACATATAGCCTGAGTTGCTCTCTTTTAAGGACTACATGTAATGAGGATTTTTTGAGTAGTACATTAGCACAGGTAGGTTATGCACTTTGTTAATTTAAGGTCTTATTTTGGTGCATGGGAGATAGGTTTGGGGTTTTTTTCCCATTGGGTTTAAACTAATAGAAGATTTGTGATCTGTCCTCTCAGTTCCAGAAGAACTTTGGACAAGAGGCGGCAGTTACTCAGGAGCTGACTAGAAATAGCTCAGTGACAAACCAAAGTTAGAATACTTCTGCTGCTGCCTTAACTGAAAAGATTACATTTGGACTACTAGAATAAAAATAATCTCTCCCCACATCTACAAACACATGCCAGGATAGCATGGTTAAGAGAGGAAAATGGCTCTTTTCCTTGGAGAAACAGTTGATATGGCTGCCATCATTGTTTTGTTGGGTTCATATTCATAACATGTTTACACACACAGGAATAAAACATGTTTATATTACATATTATTCATGTTATTAACAACATTATTATTAAAATGTGAATTAAGCTAAAATGTTACTTTCCGTTGTAAAAAAAGTGTTTCTATACTGTATAAATCAGCAAAGTAATATTTATTTCTGAAAAGTTATGTTGTTTTTCACTATTTAAGGACCTAGCTGTATATAGAGGCTACTCATGGCAATATTGCTTAGTTACTTTTGCTATCCTGATCACTGTCTTTCTCTCTAGCTGCTATTCTCTGAGAAATGCTGCATATATAATATATATTAATACAATAATTGTGTATATTGTTTAGCTCTTATGGTATTTCAGAGTAAGATGTGCTCTTTATAACATAAAAATGCGATAACTTTTAGCACTTCGGAATCATTTCCCCTACCCAGTTTCATTCAACCATAACATTCCCCATACTTTTCTCTAGCTTGGTGTGCAAGCTTAATACAAGGACAACCATCCTGGCAGCAACAAACCCAAAAGGCCATTATGACCCTAATGAGTCTGTCTCTGTCAACATAGCTCTTGGCAGTCCCCTGTTGAGCAGATTTGACCTGGTCTTAGTATTGTTAGATACAAAGAACAAGGAATGGGACCGCATCATTTCATCTTTCATCTTGCAAAATAAAGGTAAGAGCAGCCTTTTTAAATTATAAGGTGTTTTTTTTTTTGTTTTGGGTTGTTTTTTGGTGTTTTTATTTCCCCACATTTCAGTTTAGTTTTGTATTCATGAGTCTTTCATATTAATCATTGCTTGCATTTTTGCTATGGTAGTTCCCTGTTGCCTACGTGGAGCTCTGTGCTCTGGAATTAAGGAAGGCAGTGTGATTTGATTTTAACCAGCCTCTTCTCCATCCACTTCAGGAACATGGCTTTGATCCCCAGTAGTGGTTAGAGGAAACTTCTTCAGCTAGCGTCCTTCCCTTCCCACAATGTTTCCCTGCAAAAAATGTTCAGAATATAGGAGGTACCTTTTGGCTCCTACAAAGTAGGTATAAGAGCAGCCTTTTTAAATTATAAGGTGTTTTTTTTTTTGTTTTGGGTTGTTTTTTGGTGTTTTTATTTCCCCACATTTCAGTTTAGTTTTGTATTCATGAGTCTTTCATATTAATCATTGCGTGCATTTTTGCTATGGTAGTTCCCTGCAGTATGGTTGTTTTTCAGGTAGGAATAAGATAGAGATCACTAATTAATTAATAGGTGTGAGCTGAGAATGCTGTAAGTTTAATCTATGATGATTTAGAAGAGATTTTGGCACAAATTGCTCAGCAAGTGGATAGTTTCCATCTTGCGCCTTTACATTGCTTGGTATGCAGATCCTACATACCATGCAATTGTACATGTTGTTAATGGGAAACTTAATTCAGACAGAACAAATCTGAGCTCCATGTGCTGCAGGGCTCAAAGAATGAACGATACTGTTGCCTACGTGGAGCTCTGTGCTCTGGAATTAAGGAAGACAGTGTGATTTGATTTTAACCAGCCTCTTCTCCATCCACTTCAGGAACATGGCTTTGATCCCCAGTAGTGGTTAGAGGAAACTTCTTCAGCTAGCGTCCTTCCCTTCCCACAATGTTTCCCTGCAAAAAATGTTCAGAATATAGGAGGTACCTTTTGGCTCCTACAAAGTAGGTAAAATGGCCAGAGGAGGTACATACATTCATGGAGCATTTTACATTTTAAGGAATACTAGAGCACTTCGTAGTCACTGTACCATCTGGTGGGCAGTGAGTCTGACAGCAGTTGTGTTGAAATTACTGGAGGCTTTACTGTGGATTTTGATAGAGGAGGAATTGGATGGTATGTAAAATTCCACACTGGAATTTGATGAAATCCTTGAGGACTAGTGTACAGAGAACCCAGTATGGCCCAAAAATACAGTAATATGTCTTTTATAGTCACCTATCTATTTAACAGGAATTCTTGGGAAAAAGCTTGATGTCTGTTGTTGCAGAATTACTGACTAGGCAGTTGTTATGCAGGTTGCCCAAGCAAATCAGAAAAGCTCTGGAGCATGGAAAAGATGAAAACCTACTTCTGCCTTGTAAAAAGTATACAGCCAAAATTGTCTGATGAGAGCAACCTGATCCTTGTACGCTACTATCAAATGCAGCGTCAGAGCGACTGCAGAAATGCTGCCCGAACTACCATTCGCTTATTAGAGAGTTTGATACGCCTTGCAGAAGGTAAGGCCATGGCGATTTTATTTTTAGGTTAACAATTAACCTTTATAAAATGAACAGATCAGGAGTATAATTATAGCCAGTTAGCTGAGTAGCAGCTTTTCCATAGAGGTAGGGATAGGTGATTCTTGTATCGTTTTATCTTCCTAATCCAAAGAGGCTTAGGGTTGGAGATTTTGAATGTGGGAAAGGGTGTTACATTTAGATTATCAATTTTTTTTTTAATTTTGCTGTTCTCACACCCATAAACTAAAACCACTGGAAGAAATCACATTCAAGAGAAAAATCTCAGAAGTGATGTGTCTTTATGAAAAGCAATCTCAGGATTTACTTGACTTCATTTGAGTCCTGGTTTGCCATCTACTCAGCCTGAGGAAAGGTGTTAAGTATTTGCTTCTATCATAAAATTATGTAATATCAAAAAATAACACATTTTTCTTTCTTTAAGTATGAATAATCAAGTCTGTATTTTGCAATACAGCTTCAATGTTTCCAACTCCCAAGTTCGAATCATATTTCATTTATAAGAACAAAACCAAAGGAAGCAGTAGGTCTCTGTCTTAACGTGAATTTGTTTTATAAAATGGCATATCAAATATTTTCAGGATGAATTTAAAGGAATGTACTGTATTTTTGTGTAACAATCATAAATAGTCTTTATGCTTTTCTGTGCTGGTCAGCAGTGTGGTGCTTCCTGCATCAGATGTTTATATTTTGTTCTCCATTTTGGGGGGAAAATTATTTAAGCGAAAGCCATTCCTAACTTTTAGGGATCCACATGTTGTTTTCACATTCAGTGTTTCTTAATGCATTCACACGATTGGGGCTCTTAGTAGCATTTCTTTCTTTCAAAGCATTATATAGATGGTATTAATTAACTTGCGTTTCTCTTGCTGAGTAAGAACTGTGTTTGTTTCCACAGCCAATTAGGAGGAGAGCTTCATGTGGTAAATTATTTGCATTCTATCCATTTACAAAAAGCAGTTTTGTTTTGCTGGCTTAATAAAGGGAAGGAAGAAAAAATAAAGCTGTTGTAGAGAAAAGCATTTTAAATAATACTAAATTTGTGACACAGATCAGTTGGAGGAAATCAAATCTTTTATGATCTGTGATGAAAATTAGACTTAATTTTTTACTTTATGATGATGACACATACCATTTTTTAACTCTAGCATTTTGAGCATCTTTATTCGAACTGTCACTGTAACTGTAATCTGGAAGTCACAGTACATTCTTTACCGGTAAAACTAAGCCTTCCAATTCCTGTTGAAACTAACACTGAAAGGATTATATTCATGTCTAAGTTACGCCTATACATGAGTGTTTAAAGAGCTGAAGAAATTTGAAGAAGTACCCTGTCTCTTCTAGTACAAAAAAATGTTTTTTTACTTTGGTAACGCTTGTTTTCAATGGCCATTTATTTTGATAGCTCATGCCCGGTTGATGTTTAGGGATACTGTGACTTTGGAAGATGCTGTAACTGTGGTATCAGTGATGGAATCTTCTATGCAGGTAAGATTTCTTGCAGATCTTGACATTGGTGCAATACCACATTTAAGGGATTCAGTTTATCATGTAGATATATGCCAGCTCCCTTCATCTCTTGCAAGAGGATTTCATGGACTCATGGAAAGTAGGTCATCAGAGATCGTGACAAGTCATTTTTAGTCCATCTTGATTATTAAAATCCTTAAACAGAGATACTGAGAAGTCTGGATTGGTGATAAAGGCTTGGTACCTTTTTCTTCATAGACTTTGCAATGTAAGTGAAGTTTTGGCATGCTTTTGACTTTTGGTAACCTACATTTAAAGACCTTTTGAGTCAGAAATTGTGTCTATATTACTGTGTTTAATAGCCTCTGATGGGTTTTTCTTCCATGATGTTATCTTATCATTCATTAACTAGGTATGAGAGAATGAAATTTTTTTGGAGCAAGTTTCAAACAGTTCCCAAGAGCTACCCTATGTATTGCCATTAGATTATTTTAAAATATGTTGGTGGTGATACTAAAACTCAGAACTTTTAGAAAACTAATTTTACTCTGAGAAACCTTAAAAGTCCAAAACTTTGGTTGCACTGAAAATTGTGCATTCCATTTATCACATGGATTTGTGTAATGTTTCTATGTAAAAAGGCATTTAAAAATGCGGAAGGCCAGATTTTAGTTTACTGTAACATTATCAGGATGTTGAATGTAAAGAAAAATCAACACATTTAGAATTAATAAAAGGAATGTGAATCTGATAGAGGCTTTTTAAATGGAAATGTGAAAAATAACATAGACGCTGTTACTTCAGATAGAATATTTTTAAGAGATAAATCTTCATGCCTTGGAGTAGCAAAAAAAAATACCATAAGCAGATTATCCAAAGTTTTACGCATGGGAGTTTTTAGTATGTCTGAAACATTTGGGTTTGGCTCTGCCAGAGATGGTCTACTCCACTGCACAGATGACTGATGTGATCCAAAATGACATTTCCTGCATTTCTGTATAGGTTGATATGAATATGTTAAAATTAAAACCATTTTATATAGCACCTGTTAGCTCAATGGACCTTAAAGACCTTTGCAGGAATAGATATGCTCCTTTTTTGTAGATAAAGCTCTTCAGGATATATGCACAAAGTCACATATGGCAGGTAGGCACTTGTGATCTCCCTTGGTTTTTCAATGAGGGTTGAGAGACTAATTGCAGTTTGTGCCATGGATAATCTACTGCATAGTGTAGCAAATGGAATTTGTCTCAAAAATACTACAGGGCCTGACCTTATTAAGTAGCAAAAGATTATTTCGCTGTCTGCTGCAATCCATCTTGCACTGTTTTGAAGAGCTCAGCTTTTCAATGACAGCACTGCATCTAATTTAAAATAAGAAGCTGTACTAATGTATCCAATTGAAGCAGCAGAAGATATCACGTAAGTGTTCATTAACTGTAATTAAACCTGTAATTAACTAGATGGGAATTTGATGGGGCAGTGGTTTCAAAGCAATATGGTTTTGGATATAAGAAATCTGAAATACTCAATTTTTTTTCATAACAGAACAAAAAGTGTAATGCATGTATATAATAATAATGAATGTGTATTGTCATCTGTGTGTCTCTCTACCTCATCAGCACGAAAAAATGTAAAATAATTGTTTTAACTGTGGGTTGCTTTTTCATATTTATACAGCCCTGCCCTCAAGGGCTGCAGTTTGCATAACAGGCATCTATCTAATAAGAGTCAGTGAGAAATTTGCCAGAAATATGACTGCAGAAGACTACCTGGGAGTAGTTGGTATGCTCATCATATTTGCTCCACTCTTCACTTCTTATGAGCAAGTAGGCAGACGTGTTCATTTTTGCTAGGAATCTGCAAATTTGAGATCTGCTATTTAAGGGCAAATTTTACTTTCCTCCTGGAAACTATAAATGAATCACTGAAACAGTTTCTTTTGGAAGGAAGTGATTTATTTGTTTTATTTAAAAATTAGAAGTAACATGCAAAAGTTTGTTTTCAGAAATTGAGTCTTTCTTGAGAAGAAAAAAAAATTATGTATATTTACGTCCTGTGTTCCTACCTAATTGTTAGTCTATAGATTGAGGTTGTAATTGGGAAGTATCAGTGTCATTCTTGAATTACTGGCTGCCACCTCTCAGCTCAGCAAACTCTGTCTTCAACACTGTCTTTGTAACTTCTACAAAAAGTCCTATTCTTGCCATTATAAAATCAAAGTTCACAGTTCTCAGGTCAGTGTTCAGATATTTCTTGGGAGCCCTCTTGGGAAGGAGGACTACCACATTTTCATCTCCAACCTAGTCCATTGCCAAGGGCGGTTGTTGGTTTTGTCCTCTAATTCACCCTTATTTTTCTCTTTCCTGCTTTGTCCTGGGGATATTCTAATCCCCCCGGCTTGATCTTTTCTTTGCCTCATTTCCTCTTCATTAACATTTTCTCTCGCTTTCTCTTGGTCATGTTTTCATCCTTGTTTTATTCCCTTTCCAATCCCTGTTCTTTTACTCCCTTTTTACAGTTTGTCTTCCCATCCTTAGGCCCTTTTACACCCTTCCTTTCTGTTAACTTTACCTGTAATACTTTCTTTTTTCTCTCTGTGTTCTAGATCCTCTGCCCTCAGTTCCACAGCATGTGGATTTGTCATATGCCTACCTTCCTCTACTCAAAATCGTATCTCAAGAGTCTCAGAGGGGCAGATATCTCAGAGACATAAGCACCAGCACAGGAGTGAAACTTCATCGATATCTTAAATTCAGTCCCAACCCACTTAGAATTTCACACACACACACACAGAGAAGAACATTTGAAAGAAACTCATTGTGATGGCCAAGTAAAGCACTGGAAACTCAGTGAGGACAAGACGTAATTGTACCCCTTGGTTATATATCTCAAGATATATAATCATGTATTCCTTTTTTTTCCATTGAATCCTTAGGTCACAGGTTGACAGGACTCAAGACAAAAGCAGCTATCCTTTGTCAGTGTTTTGATCAGTGTTTTGTTTATTACCTGCTGTTCTAAAGTTAGAATTCTCAATTTCTTCATGTTTTTTTTCTGTGGAATTCATCTCCAGTATATTTGAGTATTTCAGAAATATCAATTCACTTATCTTCACACAGTCCTTGTGAAGTGATGGCATGGTGCTACTCCTGTTCTGTAGTCTGGATCTGAGTTATGCACGATCCAGAATAAATTGTCCACTGGAGCATACCCCATGAGGGCCCCCGTTTCAGAGTAGTAGCACTTCAAGTGTTTGAGCACATTTCCCATTGACTGCAATTTCCTTCTGTGCACACACCACATCAGGATCCCAATTACAGATTTAGTGCCTTTCAAAACCTTTGCTTAACTGGCTCATTATGAATCACAAGAACTGGAGTTAGCATCAGAGATAGGATCTAGTTCTCTGTGGCTGCTTTTAATTGTCCTAACCAAGACACTGGACTTTTCTTTCTACAATCCCTGCCTCATTAACTATGAACCTTCCAGTCCTTGAAACAAATACAGCAGAGAGGTTCTGCGACGTTTTCCATGACTACAGACTAATGCTCCTATGTGGAACAGATCTGTCATGTTCCTGAAATGATATGTGAAAAAAAACCCCAAGTGATAACTTCAGTGGGATGCATTAATGTTTGGGTTTTTTTTTTTTCCAAAAAGCAATTAACTACAGAGCTATTCTAGATTATTTGTTGTGGAACAAATCACTTTGCGCAGATGCTGTGTTCCTAATAAAAACTACTTCATTTTCACAAGGCACAGCAAAACTGTCCCATATTAAAATCACTTGCTCTCTGGAATTATTCATGAAGAGTTAGGTACTCTTAAAGAGCAGCTATTCAGGGATACTTTTGCCAGTCAATTGACCCTGTGTTAACAAGCCTTAATACCCAGGTCTTTCTATTTAAATAATTAGGCAAAGCTAATGAAAACTTTTAGCAGTTAGAACTTCTTCAGTTATAAAAGTTACTCACATGGGCAGAATTTTTACAAGGCATTTGGAAAACTTCTTTAATGCTAATTTCCATTTTTAGTCATGATGTCCTCAAGCCTTGGGTGGACTTTCAGGTTTTTTGGATAAATAAAAATAAACTAGTAGGAGTAAACTGCAGGCTTGGTCATATAATTGCTTTATGTGTATGAACAACTTTGCCTGTGTGAGTAGACCTAATAGGATTATTTGCGTGAATAAAGTTACTCAGTAAATATTTGCTTAAGCTTTAAAATATCTAAGGAACAATTTTGTATAAAATTGTCTCTGATATTTAAATTTGGTGCTGAATAGTAAAGATAGCTTGCTTTTTTTTTAAATCTCTTTCGTGACATAGGGGGGTGCACTTCTTGGAGGTATCAATGCTTTACACACCTCGTTTCCAGAAAATCCAATGGCACAGTACCGAACACAGTGTGAACTCATATTGGAGCGACTGGATCTGCAAGATCTTCTGCACAAAGAGCTACAAAGACTTGACAGGTTATAATATGCAAAGTAACAAAATAATTCAATAGTGAAAAAAGATTGTTTGACAATAATATCTGGAGAGGGTCTAAAAATAGAATCTGACATTGGGAATGGACTTGTTCTTTAGAGGACATGGATAAGCAGGGAGATTCTTTTAAAATAGCACTCTGAGATCATCACAAGATCATTTCTTCCCCTGGGTTATGGAATTTACAAAGAATTTAAGAACATTTTAATCAGCTCTCAACTCATATCTCATTTCTGTGTTCAGATAAGTTTCAGCAGAGCTTTGTAGGGTCAAAATGCCAGATTCTGTAGCTGAGCAAGTAATTTTATTTAACCTTTTATTACTTACTTGGTAAAATACAGCAGATTTTGCTTCATATTTTTTAAGCCTTTTTTTGTGTTGGTCTTGTCAGGATCATTCCCTTTCTGTTAAGGGAAAATATAAGCCTGAATCAAAGTTCGGTTCTTTCAGGTGATTTTTCTTTTTTTACACACTGGAATTTTCACTGTCTTGTCTCTAATTTTCAGCTCACTGCAATAATCTTTGGAAATTCTATTTGCTGTTATTAATAGAAAACTTCTAATGTACTGAGGCTGAGAGGAAAACACTAGGATTGGAAGGAAATAAAATAAAAAAACCCCCACATTTGTTTCCTGGAATGAGATTAGGCTCTAAAGAAACCCTTACTTTCTTCTTGTTAAAGGAAGATTAAAGATTAATGTTATCAAAGCTAATGGAATAAGAACAGCTGGAAGATACACTTTTTCCTTTAAATATTTTTCAGACTTACTTTGTAACTCATAGTAAGGACATCTTAAATAACCACAGAGGCAATAAAAGCAGGTGAAAGTGGGGTATCTCCAACAGACAGACAAAAGCTAGTTTTAAAACAGAGGTGTTCATAAGGGATGATAGAAACATAGGATGGATTGGGAGATCAAATACAAAGACAGGATCAGGTCTGTGTTTGACCTTCCTGGCAGGGGCTTGTGTTATCTGCTCAGAAGACCTTGTAATGAAGAGGATTTTCCATTGCCATTGCTTAGTCTGTTCCATTATTGCTCATCCTAACGCTCATAAAGGTTTTCCCAATATCCTACTGAATGCCCTATGTTGCAAATTAAGCTGATTTCTTCTTCCCCGTCTTAAGCAGCTTAGAGAATACTAAACAAATGTCCTCTTTAAAACAACCTATTCTGTATTAGAAGACTTGTCCCATGCATCCTCCCTAAACTATATTTCAATAAAACAAGCATCTATCTTTCAGCCCTTCTTGAAGAGTCACATAATTTCTGCTACTTTCCATGAAAATTTTAAGAATAAGCATATTAGTAAATAATGATGGTAATGATTTTAAAACGTGAATGTCAATATAGTGTTTTCTCTCTCATGTAGCAGAGGAACTGTTTGTAATGCTTAGGGATCATTTCACCTACCCTAGTGCAGTCACTTTTGGGATGCAATGTGGCTGCTCTTCACTCGTGGTTAGAATCACTATTTAGCAAAAAGTACAATGCTATCTCCCTTGGAAATTATGTGTTTAGGTACAATAGTCAGAATATGAGCTATACTGAGATTGGAGGGAACCCTCATTCTAGCACCTCTGTTGTTTTGGAGGGCCCTGAGAATATTAATAGCCACAGACAGCGACAATTAAGATCTGAGATGCTTTCACTGTATCAAGTGGAGGTTTTGACATGTTGAGTCTATAGTGATTGTGAGAGGAAACCACCAGCAACCACTATTCCACGTAATACCTAGATTTTCCATTCTGATAACTCATTTGAGCCTTTGCCTTGCTCAGGATAAAATCTAATGAGGCTCCTGTTCTAGAAGATAATGTAATGAGAATGAGAATATGTAATCCCTAAGGGACTCTAGCAATGACTGTAAGTAGTGCAAAGCTGTTTGGGGTTGTTTTTTTTTCTGTTTGGTTTCCCAAGGAAATGAAGTTTACGTGGTTGCTTTCTCTGTCCATCTGCCTGTCTTCTACTGGGGACACTAAATTCCGCCACTTACTGTAGAAGGTGCTGAAAGATCACAGACTGCAACACCAGCTTTCAGAGCTATATGTGAAACTTAGTAATGCACTTTTGTGACATACATTATCTGTAGCTTTTCACCATTCATACATATTAAGCATCACTATGCAATAAAGAAACAAAACAAAAAAAAAAGAAAAACAAATGACTATTGCTTAATTCTTTTTCATTCCATAGATTACAAAAGGAAAATTCATGCCAGCTGCAGCCTGAAGCCACAAGTTTCAGTACTACTACAAGATGCTTAGACAGGGCTATGTTTGAGCAATCAAAGCAAATGCATCAGTCAGAGCCTTCAAATCAACAAGAGAATAACTCCAGGCCACAGCCGCCTTTGCCTGAAGACAGCTGTGAAGGGCATACACAACTAGAACCCCCATGCACCCCAGTACATGGCAATAACAAAAACACAAAACACTTGATTAAACATAGTAACAGAGGTCATGATGGCAGCCTGGCATGGTTTGACAGCCTGGAAGAGAGCAATACTGATGCTGAAGAAACTTTTCAGAAAAAGTCTCCAGTGCCCAAGATGTCTCCAAATGACTTGGCTTCAAAAGCCCCATGTAAAACATCCTGTTCTGAAGAACGAACTGCTTCAATATCAAGGAAGGGAAATGGAACAGAGTCACTAGCAACTGTGAATCTACATGCTCCTTTGGAACAGGACAAAGTTTCCAAGATAAGCAGGAAAAGGACTGAAGAACACAACTGTTCTTCAGAAGCAAATATTCAAGACTCAGCATCACCAAGTGCTAGTGTGCAGGATTCAGTTATTACACAGCGGGTTTCTAAACGCTGGCAAAGACTGCACACAGAAAAATCACATGGATTCTTTACAAGTACACAGGACCCCGAGGCAAAGACCCTTCCTTCAGTATTACCTGCGTCTGGCCTGCCAGATCTTTCAAGTGATGCAGATTCTGTGCTAGGGGAGGAAAAGAACAGCATATCTGTAGCAGCAAAAACTGCAACAATTTGCATGAGGAAAAGAAGTAAAGGTCAAGTAGTGAAGGAAACAAAGGTAGTAAGTTCCCATGAGCCAGAAATCCTTGACAGTGAAAGTCCTCCAGCAGCTAAACTAGCTAAATTTTCTTTCAGACCAAGGACAAAACTTGATCATTCTTCAGAGGAGAAAAATGAAGAATTTTCTCTTTTTCGGAGTGAAACTATTTTTAAGCCTGGAGAGCAGCTCCAGGGAGAGCAACTGCCAGAAGAATGCTACCCCCCTGAGAAGCGCAAGATGACATTGACTCGCTTAGGAAAAAATAGTTTGAAAAAACGATCAATTGATAATAAAGGGGGAGAAGAGCAACAAAGTGAGGCCTTAGGCAAAGAGATTGGAGGAAGTGCAACAATACACCCTGATGTCAGTTTCGATGCTGCGTCATCTCCACCCACTGACAAGAAAAGGGAGGGAGAGGAGAAGCTTGGTGGCCCAAGCATAGGGAAGGTGCGCCTCAGCACATTAGCCAAACTGTCGACATTCTCCTTTGCATCACGTCCTGAGTCAAAATTGGAAACCTCACCTACCATTAAGATTGACACTAACAAGGAAAGCCATAGTCCATTGCTGAAGGTGCATGTGAGCAATCCTAGCAGAAGGAAGAGTTTTGCTCTGGGAAATGCTAGTAAAGCCAGTGTGGTCACACAGAAATCTCTCTTCTCCGTAGCAGAGCTAGATGATGCTACATTAGATTTTGATTGGGATGAAGAGGTTAGGAAAAATGCAAACATGTAAGGTGTGTATCCTCTAAATTACTTATGTATCCGTAGTTCGCAAAGCTTTTAAAAACAATCATCCTGGACGTCTGTTGATGCCAATGAACATACTTTCTTCAAGGGCTGTATACTCTACATAACCTAAGGACTGCATATACTGCAGATCTGATGTAGCTTTTACTTTTCTAAACTCTTCCCAAGACTGCTTGATCAGTTGACTGGTTTGATTGACCTGATGTAACCTGAAGACTTGTATGGTTATGTTCATCTATCCAAAGTATAGTGAATCGTGCAGAAGAGCAGGCTTAATTGACTGTTACCCTTTATTTCATGTAATGGTTAGAACTGTATGTGATTCAGATTGTCCTTTCAAATGGCTGTGCCACTTTAGAAAAATTATGATGCTAAAGCTATGCCATTATATTTTGTTCATCTATGCATGCTGTTTGTCTCAGCGTAGTTAGCAATATTGTGATTTTTCATCATGCTATGGTAAGTATTTCTGTATTATCAGTATCATGACAATTTTGCTGCATCTCTGATAACCATGCTCCTTATCACATTGCTGACGTTAAAGATTTGGATCGAGAGCTTTTTGGTTTTCTGGTTTTTTTTAATTTCAATGTTAAATACACTGGTTCAGGTATATGTGTCTGTATTCTGGGTCATTTTATCCAAACCCAACTTTGTAATGAACACACAGTTCTCAAATTTCAGGTGATTGAATGGGAGTCCTCAGTAACCAGGGTAACTTTAATGCAGGCATTAAGCCCTGGCATATAAGCTACACTTCAAATCTAGCAGCATGGTGAAGAGCTACCCTAGTGTAGCTTCGTTCTGACTCGGATAATGTTTATTTGACTGTTTTAATTATGATTAGAGTTTTACTGCGTCTGATATGCAGTTCATCTTCTGTAGCATGCTGCATCCTATGTCATTCATTTGTCTAATGGGAAATTAATCTACTAATGCATTACATGTTTACAGAGAAAGGTAAGCCTTAAATTTCTTTCAGTGACTTGCCTGCCATGTTTCTTCTGTATTTGAATTCTCCACAGAATATTCTTGTTATTACCTGCAAGGTAAACAGGGAATGGAGTGGTTGCTTACAGCACAGTAAATCCTTTGAGAGGCTTGCTAGCACAAAGAAGATCTGATTCTCTCTTGATTTGCTTAAATTTAGAAGTAGCTCCCTTGAAACCAAGTGAGTTAAAATACTGCAAAATTTCAGAGGATGAAGAAGTGTGAGGCCCAAGTACTGTGGTGTGGTACACTGAAATCATGAAAACAGTAATCATAGTAGTTGGCTTACTGTTAAGAGCTTGGGAAAATGACAAAAACATTACTGTCCAGACTGATTGTGTGGTAGTTCCTCCACTGGAAACATCACGTCAATCAAAAGAAGTGGAATTTATCCACCTCCCTCTGGGAGCACAGGGCCACCCCTTCCTGTTCCTTCTCACAAACACCTACGCCTGGGTGAGGGTGACCTACTGCCCGTGAAAATCAGAAGTTTCCTACAGGATACTGTGTCTGCACTGAAACTCGAGAAGGGTCAAGAATCCTGGAGCTATTAACATTTATGAGGGTATTCCTACTTGAATTTTCACAGGCCAGCTAACAGCATAGTTTTTCATCAGCACTGGAGCTGCATCAGCCCCTTGCATGGTGGTCTCGTTTACAATCAAAAATACTTCTTGCTAGCTGTTCGTTTTGACGGCTGTTACTGGCTGGCCAGTGCAAAGCCAGAACATAGCTACTGGATCCCCACAGTCAAGCATCACAAGCTTTTTTTTACCATGCAAAATGATAAAAAAATTAGTCGAGAAATTTCATCCACCTGTGCTATTGTTTTTATTCATCACTTCCCTGTAGATCAGCACCTAGGGCCTCATCTAATGTAATTTGCTATGTAAAGTTATGTGATGAGCTGCTCCCATGAACTGTGTGACCTTTTCCTAAATATTCTTTTGTTGTAGGCTGGTGACTTTCTTCCCTCTGCCAGCAGAAATTAGAACTTGCTTGAAATTAGCAGAGTCATAGTGGCACAAGATTGAGGTGAAAGTCAGACTCAAAATTTCCTTCATATTTTCCATGCTTATGCTGTGTTTGAGAAGATTGTTTTTTATATTCTGCTCGTTTCAAAGTTGCGGCACTGTAAGATCTGCCTGAGGGCCAGGGTACCTGCACAGTGAAGCAGAGCAGCTGTGTTTCGGGAAAGCTGAAATGCCACGTAACGCAGACAGTGATCTTCCTTATCAATGAGACATGCAAAGTCTCATGAAGCAAGAGAATGCCCAGTTAGCAACAACTGTGAGAACTGGGCATCCACATTCCCATGGTGTCCTCAAACCTGTGCATAGATCATTGCAGCCTAGTAAAGGGAAGATAATAGAAACAATTTTATTTTTTCATAGATGAAAAATCTTTCCTCTGATCCAGTAAATGAATCCAGTATGTCCCACAGCTTTTCCAGTCATACAGTGCTAATCATATTTATGGTCCAGTTCAGCAGTTTGGCTGATATAATCCTGCTAGATTGCTTTTATTTATTTATTTATTTTTTAATTAATCCATTTTGAATTCAAATCTGCAGTTTAACTGCTCTTTGAAAGCACAGTCAGCAGACCCATGGACAAGCTGGCAATTTGCTGGAGAGTGGATGGATCTCAGGATAGGCTACCTGATGTGCCTTGCGCCTGGTGGACTCGAGCAGTTCGGTATACTGCCAGCCCTTTGGCATATACCCTCTCATCGCCTTAGCGCAGTAGCACCAAGTGAGGTATGTATATTGAGACATCTGAATTTAGAGGAGGCTAAACGTATGAGCTCTTCCAGAGGCTTGCTGAAATCCTCTGACAGCAAGAGGGAAGTTGCAGCACCTTCCTAAATGCCTACAAAGGGCCCCCGATGCTTAGAAGAGAACAGAACCAGGAAGGATAAAGAAATACCATGACACCTTAGCCTCTGCTTAACGTGGACAGATTAGCCCACAACCCAAGGTTTGCACTAGTGAGTACAAACTCTGTTATGTTCATTTTTTAATGGGCATCATTTGTAAGGCCTGATTTGCAGATGTCCTGAGTGCTTGATGGCTGAAGCGTAAATCAATGAGACATGTAAGGTGCAGTGTAATTATAATTTTGCTCTTCTGTCTTCATCTCTCTCATATTCTTGGTTGTGAAATGGCTCCTTCAAGAAGAAATGGTAGTGAATGGTCTCACTTAGGATAGATACCCTGTGTTCTGGGGGTAGAAGAAACAAGAAATTGATACAGTTTCACTGCTTTTCTTATTGAGGACATCTAAGAACCTAAGACCTCCTACATTTTAGCACTTGTCTTTAATAGATTGCAAGTCAAGCTTGCATCCCTCAAAACAGTACCTGTGAGCACATCAGGACAAATTTGATAATGCCCAGGAGACTTTTCCAGATCAGTGAAGACATTTTGTCTATAGAGACATGCAACCCTGGAAAGACCGTGGCGGAGTTGCTGTCTACCCCTTAGATATGTTTTAGGTATCTAAATCAAAACATATACTGTAGAGTTTAGGCAGAGTGAATTCTGTCATTCTTTGTAGTGTCTTAATGGTCAGGAATTTTTGAGGTAAAATATGTTAGATAGTATATCAGTAAAAAGAAATTTGTCTCTTCAGATTCCCCAGATTAGAAGTAGTTGGTGTATTACTTTATGAAATGGAACTGTGCTGCTTTATTGAGCAGAGGTTTTTGAGATCTGAGGGATCTGCTTTTCCCCTTTGTGTAACACGAGAAATGGAATGAAAGCCGTAAGGAATCAAGGAAGGATACTGCAAACTCCAGTCAGTCTGAGGTCACTCTGCCTGGAAAGCCGCTTGGGTAGCATTGTTTCCCAGTTAGAAGCAAAGAAGAGGAGGTGCAGGGACATGGTATTCAGCTTGCAGAAAGGCCCAGTTTTTCTATATTGGCAGAAAAAAAAGTGTTGTCCTTTCAAACTGTGTGCAAAGAGGTCCTAGTTACCCGCGTGTGTTGGGTAAGTAACCAAAGAATAAATTTGGAAGAGCAGATACTGCTGAGATCTTTCTTTACCAGACCACTTGAAATACTACTGTTGTGGTATTGCTTCTGATTCATAGCATGAATTCAGAGCATTCAAGATAAATGAGAGGCACACAGTAATAAGAAAATGATACCTGCTGCTGATTTACTTTCCCTCACCATTCCCACTGCTACAGAACCCATTTATCAGTGCGTTGGCAGGGAACATTGCTTACTTCTTTCCTTTCCCTTTTTAAACCAACTTCCCCCACAAACAATCTTACGTTTTAATGGTTTTTCGAGTGCTACAATAGCCCAGTGATGGGAGGATTTAATCCATTATGGCAGTGGCGGTCCGCTGGGCTAACCTACACAGAGGGATTTCCTCTGCCAGTACTTCGTGCCGTCAGTGGGCAGATGAGCCACGTCCTGCCAGCCTGCCTTCCTGCCCAGGCACCCAGCCGCTCTCTCCTTCGCGTTTTAACACTTGCCTCTCTGACTTTGTGATCTAAGAATGTAAAAACATGTCCAACGTGTCTTCCCTGGGTGAATATATACAAACATATATCAAAACAATTATTACTGTTGAGTACACTAATATTTAATTAAGTTGTGGTTTATCTTTGTGAGTCTGGTTCATTAAAGCTGAGTATATATGTTGCTGTCTTACAACCCAGTTGAGCCAAACCTTAGAAGTCACTGGTTCTAGCAGCATATCGATCAGGTGCTTCTTTTGCGAGCAGCAGTGAAATGCTGCTGTTAGATATTCAGTGCCCACACTCTGTTGCCTTGGTTGAAACCAGGTTGTGTCGTGACAGCATGAGACAAGATCACAGTTTTACTGGCAGCTGTCCCATAGCAATGCTCTCATCGATGGCCTACGCAGACATGCTGATGGGTCAAAGGAATGTGGAAAGCAAAACCCCCAACAATTTATATTTTTATATTTTTTAATTATATTTTTGTGTAAAAAAAATGCTTCATCATAATTCTTTTAATCCT